GTCTTTGCAAACAGATCTTCTTTATGCACCAACAGCTTGTAACACTCCAAAGAGAAAGGAAAAATTGAAATCGCATCATATGACACCTTTAAAATATACTGCAAAACATTCTAATATATAATTATAAATATTATAACAAATAAAAAAGTTATAGTATAAAACAAAAAAATATATAAAAATAATTAGGAAGAGTTCAAAATATAATATGAAACATTACAAAAATTTAGAAAATTATAAAAATTTAAAAGTTTTGTTTTATAGCTCTATAATCTAACTTGTGAATCAACGCTGTACTGTTTAATGTTTTGATTTTTGTACTGGAAAATGACAACAACAAGAGGAGCATCATTTATTTGAGAGCATTAAACGTCAAACAGAAGGCGTGTCGCCCGGCCTGAGGGCGGAGCCTCTAATCGTGATTGACAGCTCTCCGTCCGGACAGGCGGGATTAAAGCAATCAATCACATAAAGCCGTGAGGTAAAAACTACAGGAACATGAATTCAATTGAGCGAGAGAGACACAGAAAGAGCTGAAGAAATATTGAAGGCCATTAGCGCCGGAGAGCAGAGAACACGCGAGGATTCAGATGCGGCCGTGCCATAAATTCATATCAAATGACTGTTGAAGGGCTGCGTGTGAAAACACGGCCGCGGTCAAGGACGACTCTACCGTCAAACACACGCTTCAGTTTCAGCTCCATCCATCCTTCACTCACTCACACACACACACACACACAAACACACACACGTATGTTTCTGTGAATTGTGGGGACTTTCCATAAACTTCTATTACTTTTATACTGACCAAACGATATTTTCTATCCTCTAACCAAGTTCAGTTTTATTTCTAGTGCATGTTTAAGCATGGAACAAGACCGACCTAAGTGCTGCACAACAAATAATAAAATACAATAAAAAGAGAAAAAAACGTAGACAAGAATAAAATCATACAAAGCAAACATAGCTACATATTAAAAGCCAAAGAGAAAAGATGGGTTTTAAGATATGACTCAGATAAGGTGGAAGCCGTTCTAATGTGAACTGGTAAGTTGTTCCACAGAGTGGGAACAGTCACTTCAAAGGCTCTAGATCCCCTGGTCTTTAAGCAGGTTCTTAGGATCCGGAGGAGAAATTTGCCCTCCGATCTTAATCCCCTTGCTGGAATGTAAGGGTGGAGTAAATCAGACAAATAAGGAGGAGCTAGGTTAGTTAGTGATTTGTAGACAAGTAGCAAGATTTTAAACTCAATTCGATAGTGAACTGGTAGCCAATGCTATGATCTCGAGAGGGGAGTAACATGATCAAACTTTTTACATCCCTTCAGGAATTTAGCTGCTGCATTTTGGACTACTTGTAGCTGAGAGATTTGGGACCTTGATATACCAAAATAGAGGGAGTTGCAATAATCCAGTCGAGACTTACTAAAGGCGTGGATAGCAACCTCTAGAGATCTTTCAGAAAGAAATGACTTGATTTTAGAAAGAGAGCGAAGATGAAAGAAGCTAGAACATACAACAGCACTAATTTGTTTATCAAATTTCAAGCATTTATCAAACTCCACACCCAGATTCCGAACTTGGGGAGAAATTAAGGAATTTAGGGTCTCGAGGTTCAGTTGATTACTTGCCCTGTGTTCAGAGGGGCTGAAGAAGATAACTTCTGTTTTATCTGTGTTCAAGAAGAGAAAACCTTTAGAGAGCCAAGATTTGACATCATCAAGACATGCTAATAGAGTATCAACGGCATATTTTGTATTCTTAGTCATAGGCCAATAATTTTGCATATCATCGGCATAACAGTGGAAGGAAACGCCATGTTTCCTAAAAATAGAGCCCAGAGGAAGAAGATGAAGAGAGAAGAGTGCAGGAGCTAAGATAGAACCCTGAGGAACCCCGCAGGTTAAGTTGCCTGGGGATTAGATAAAGCTTCTGATTTTTAAAGAGAAACTCCTATATTGGTTAAAAAAGATTTAAACCAGTTTAAGACCCCCCCCCTCAGACCAACACAAGATGCCAAACGAGAAATAAGAATCTCGTGAACTTGAACTTGAAATACATAAATGATGTTTGTCTTATTTAACATATTTAACTATTGCAGGTTTGTATAATAAAAAAAAGAGTTTGCATTCCGCTGTTTTTATTGATTTTGAGGAATACTGAATCTGTTTTTGTGCAGGTGAGATGAGTGAATACATGTTCATATTTAGTCTAGAACTACAGTAAGATCATGTTCACACACAACGCTCTGCACTTACTCCTGATTTCTGTCACCATGGCAACACCAGAGCTGTCACTCAATACATGGAAACAAAGTAACTGGCGTTAATTATTTGAAAAAGTAACTCAGATATTTCCTTCTAATTTCAAAAGTAATGCGTTACTTTACTAGTTACTTGAAAAGTAATCTGATTA